TATATATATATATATATAAAGTTATAATAATGAGACTAAATATCAATAATAACAGTAACAGAATACCTTCAATTAAATAACAATAGCAACAAATATCTTAAAATAATAAATATAACAATAGGAAGCTTACATGGTAGGATTGATACAGATAGGGTAAGCTTGATGCACCAATGGGGTGGTTTTCTTCTGCTCAAACCAAGCACTCAAACAAACTCTTACAAACAAGCTTGCAAACTCAAACAAACTCTTACAAACAAACTTCCAAACTCAGACAAACTCTTACTAACAAACTTACGAACTCAGACAAACTCTTACAAACAAACTTGCAAATTCACACTCAAACAAACTCTCTTACTTCAAACTAAGCAAGCACTCAAGCAATGCTCTCCTCCTGTTTTTCGGATTCCTTCATCTTTTTCTCTGCTTCTCTTATATAGGGGAAGGAGTCAGACTTCAAAATGTTTTAAGTCCACACCGACATCTTTTATGGAAAAAAGCAAGATTCCCTAGAGTGAATCTGACACCTTTTCGGGAAAAAGAATATTCCCTACAGTTTTGTCGGTAGCAATAGTGCTCTTCTTTTTTATGGAAATTCGTCAGTAGTAATAATGCTTTTATCTATTGCTGCTAGCATTAAGGACACGTGTCTTGGGTGAACTAAGCTTTTATCCAGGACACGTGTCCTTAAAGATAGCTGCAAACACGGACCATTTCTGAGTTATGACTTTGTCCAACAGATTAATATATTCACAGTTTTGAATTTTCTCTAACATATTACATTTGGTCGAGTTTTCAGGGTCATCATTTTCCAAAACCCTTGGCATAGTGTCTTCAATTTCAAGAGGCAGAAGATTATGGTTATAATCTTTTATCAAGTTACTGAACTCTTCTTCAGAATTTTCATCATTGTTACCTCCTTTTCTGAAAGTAATATCAATCATTTCTAGGATTTTTACTCCAGTTTTTAAATTTATTAGTTCATTGTGAACTTCATTTATTTCACTTTTTACCTCAGGAATCAAAGGTTCCTTATTAGTTTGAGTTTTGTTTTGAACTCTTTTAAGAATGTCATGGAAATCATAATCTTCTCTTGAAGGTATGAGAGAAGGTTTAAGAGTAGTGGGTCTAGAAGGCTCTTTAGCCATGTGGATATATTGCATCAAGGCTTCTTTTTTAGCCTCAAGGTCATTAATTTTATCAATCAGGTCTATGATAAGATTTTCTTCTTTTGTCAAAGTACTTATATTTAAACTATTCATATCAATGATGACCTTTAAAAAATTACATTGGCAGTTATCTTCAAGAGCATTTTCGGAGTCCGAATCAGAGTCTGAGCTAGTAAAGATCAAATCCTCGTCATTAATTTCTCTAATTAATATTTCATTATCAGAGTTAGAAGATTCGTCTGAGTCATCTCTTTTTATTAATAGAATATCAAATAATTGTTTTTTGAAATCTAAGTCTATTTCGAGTGCATCAATTTTCTTTTTACCTCTGCATTTATTTTTGAAATGACCCACCTTTCTGCAGTTGTAGCAAACTTGTATCTTTCTTTTTCCCCTTTGTTTGAAATGGTGATCTTGTAAAAAAATTTCAGGAAAATTATTTTCTTTACATGTGAATGTCTAGATTTTGATTGCCGTAAATTTTTTTTGTCTTTCTTTGTCAGTAGGTTTAGAAGTGGGTAAAGTATTATACCCAACTTGTTTACAAAAATCTCATAGTTCTTTTTTCCATGTCATTATCTGTTTTTCTAGTTGTCATCGCAGTTTTAAGACTGTGCATAAGGCAAGTCCTTCAGCATAGATTTCCGTTGATAGTTCACCAAGGGTATAAAGGGAATAGGGAATGATGCCACCGTGTTTATTTTTAAGTCTTGTTTTGACTTTTTCGGCAAAAGATGGGGAAGTCCAGCTATAAATTTTTCTTTCCAGTGATCAGCCTTACTATCTTCTTTAGATAATAATCTAGAATAAAAAACA